CAGTTACCCAAAAGCACCCTCGACACATTTTTTTACCCAGAAAGCATTGGCGGCTCGACCCAGAATTCCAATGGGCAGCGGGGACTGCGGGAACTGTGGGATAGCTGCCCACAGTGCACCGCTTCCAATGTCGACGCTTTCCCCGTTAGTGTGGACTCACAAAGTCGAATTACTGTCCTTAGTGTGGACACACACGTTCAACTTTGCAATATCGATTCCAAAAATTCGATTTAAGTAAAATCGAACTACTCTCGTAGTGTAGACATACCCTCAGTGAACTGAAAATTGAGCTAATGAGAAATGCCCGTCATGCTGCAATCACAGCTCTTGTTTACACTTATGTGTGAATGAAAATCAAGACTCTTTTTTCTCTGTGCAGGATTCACCCAGTTTATCAGTAGCCCCAGTGCTTGCAGACTTGTTGGGGGCTTCTGCGGCCATACATGTTACCCCAGTTGGAGATGGATTGGAACCTGCAGTTTTGGGCTGAGTTGCTGTAACAGGAGAGGGGTAAGTTCAGGATGCCACAAGGGAGACATTAGGGTGTAAACAGAACATGTGTGTCTCTAATTTCTATAGCAGCTATTTAATGACCTTGCAGGCTCAGAGCACATGGCCCAACCCTGATATGGGACAAAGGAAACTTCTGTGCTGCCTGATTCTGGACTATCTGGGGTTTCCATGTTAGAGTGAGAGTAATCGTATAGTTGCTTTACTCAGGCTGCCTATGGTCTGTCCACAACCCAGAGCAGCCCAGAGTCTCCATAGTGCTCAGTGCTACAGAGCTTGCCCCTGTGAGACCCGGTAACACCCAGCACCACCCCAGAACAGTACTTGCCAGGAGGGCAGCATAGGTGCAATTATGTGAGCCATGTATTGCTCATGTATTGCAGTTACTCTCCGCAACCCGTTTTGAAGCCCCTCTGGCTTGTCAACATGGCATCATACAGACAGTGTCTGTGGCCAGTCTGTGGCGTACGTCTACATTGTTTCATTTAACAATATGGAAAACAACGGGGAAGGACTAAAGTATATTTCCCAGGAGAGCATTTGGGGAATGTATCTCCTTTGTATCATTGTGCAAAACCTATGAGATGAAAACATAAATGCTTAATTTACCAAAAAGAAATGTGTACAAGTATGGAGCTATGTTTAAGGGGGTGTCTGTCGTTTTCCAGTATAAAATGATTAAACCTGTCACAGAAAAATTAGAATAATCAGCAACACGGCTTCTGATTGACTCTTATACTTTTAAGCCTTTCAGAAATGTTATGTCACTCTTCCAGTCACTGACAGAAGGATCCAATTTTCATTGATGGGGAAATTCCTACCCTTTGTTGAATTTGAAATGTAACATTATAGTGTTCTTGTTTTAATGGATATAAACATAGAATGTGAGAGTTTCTTCGCTTGTTGCAGTACCCAGAGTGAGTGATGGCTGCAAAGAATGTCAAGGCAGGTTCGCTGAGAATCTGGCAGACGACGCCTTGCTTTTAAAGTCCTCGGATGCTTTTCATCTGGGCTGCAAAGAATCTCGCAAGCTGGAAAAAATCCACAAGGGAGCCTTGTGTCCCCCCTAATAGTTTGATGTTCTCCTTTTAATAAAAATAACTGGTTTGTTGTGGTGTATCACAAACATGCGTGTGAGTGTTTTGATTGGCACCCGGGGGCTGTTTTGCTATTTCTTTTCTATGAAATCCCTTCCTTCTTTTATTTTAATGAAATATAAATAAAATAAGTGGTCACTACCATATGTGAAATCCACCCAGGGTGTTCCTAGACCAGGCGACATACATATTTATATGTTTCAGTGAGCTCACATTGATAAATCTTTCCCTTTCCCTTCGTCCTTTGACAAAGCCGTTTGGTTTGTGGTGTTGTCAGAGGAGTTGGGTTCAGTCCCAGTTTGGCTGCACAGTGTGTAATGCCCACATCACTGCTCCACGGCCTGTCGACCCTCTCTCTGCTCCCCTCGCCTTCCAAACCTCCCCATAATGAGGTCCCTTCTCTTGTGCCTGAGCGTCCAGACCTTGCCCTGTGCAGCAGGCTCCCATACAGGAGCCAGAATGGCAGCGCAAATCCCAAAGACCCAGGCTTAGAAACCTGACTAAATTTGCAAGTGAGGGTGTAACTGAGGCAGCCACATGGGGTCCTCCCATGGAGAGGGAGAAACAATGGAGCTCACAGCTGCTTTGCCATTTCTGTGCATCAGGAAAATATTGTTGTCCCGGGGCACCATTTCGGGAAGGCCTCCCCCCACTCCAGTTTTGTACAAGCTTTGAGTGACGTGTGCAGCAGAAGGGAAGATGCTGCCCTTCCTCCCCCGCCCCCGCTGCCCTGCTCCGCTGTTGTTTGCAGCCATGCTGCCCCGCCCCCCACCATGGGGCCACTGCTGGCGTCACTCCTCACCCACTGATATGCTGCGTAGAACGGGGTGGGGGTTGATATCGGGGTGTTCCCTTCCCCCCGCCAATTGCAGAAGTGGGTGGGCTGCGCACGCCCCTCACCCCAGCCACTGAACTGCAAAGCTGTCCCCACTGAGCCAACTAGGGACTGAGCATGTGTCTGGCCCCGCAGCAACAGCACCTCCTTGGACACAGCCCCTCCCTGCAC